TTTTTTTTTTTTTTTTTTTTTTTTTTATCTGAGGAAACTTGGGGGAATTGGAGGTTGGGGAGTGAGTGTTTGGGTTTGAACCTAAGATTTTAATATTTTAAACATAGTCTTTCTTAAGAGATGACTACTAGATCAATCAATAAAGGACTACTCCAACTCATGATTTATTGTCTTAACTGTTTAGAGATGCTGCTTCATCTTAATTTACTAAAATTTCTTTTCTCAAAATAAAAAATAAATAAATCTGTTCATCAATATCTATGCATCTTCAATCATGATATAATAAGGGTTAAAACTTAAAATGGCAAATGGAATTTTCAATACTCTTTCTGATTTTGCTTTCCTCGTTTTTTCCCCACAAATCTCTGCTCAGCTCACTAGCAAGCCAGGTGCAGTAAAAATTTTGATCTATGCTAAATAAGCCTTTATAAGGTTAGTTGTAATATTTTTTCTCTCTTCTCTCAAAATTTTTCTTGTTTAAAAAAAAAAATCTCTATGCGCGGCCGATCCTTTTTTTCAGGTTGGCTGAGTTAACATTGGCAACTTTTCCGCCGATGGTATCTACGGGACCAACCTGGATCGTCTTTTCTCCCAACTCACATCCGACGAGGTTTTCAACTAGGGGCTCTATAATATGTCAGTCGGCTAGAGCTCTGACCAGGTCAACGCAATCGGACTCTGCAGGGCAGACGAAAAGGGGGACGCTTGCGGAAATTGCCCCAACGACGCAGCTCCGAGCTCCAGCATCGCTGTCCCAACTACAAAGAAGCAATTGGGTGGTCGGAATTCTGCACTTTACACTACTCAAGCCAAGAAATTTTTGGGTCTTGGAAACCAATCCCTTTCGTCCACCATCTAGTAGAGGCAAAGGCAATGCATCAGATGTCACTGCTTTCAGCCGGCCTTGAATTCCTTGTTGAAGAATTTAAAAGGCTGCGGGGCCGCTGGAGGCCCTCTTTGCAAGTATCCGGCGGACAACACGACAGGTCCTGATGTCTTTGGGAATATTTACGCACTAGTGCAATGCACTCCGGATTTGTCCCAATAGGATTGTAGCGATTGTCTGACGACGGTCATTTCAAGGGTTGTAAGTTTCTGCAATGGATCACTGGAAGCAGGATTCTGCAACCAAGTTGTAACTTGAGATATGAGATTGTCCCCTTTTTTGGGGCCCGTAGATGACATTCCTCAACCGTCTTCACCTCTACCGGAAAGTAAAGTGGACATCGTTCCTCATTTTGGAGAAGTTATTGCATCCATAAGTACAACCTCAAGAATTTTTTTTCTTTTTTGTTTTTATGTTCTACTCACTGGAATTAATCACAATTGATAAATACATTTTTGTTCGAGGTTGAGAACAATCAGGACCTTTTATTTTTTTTTTTTTTTACCAACCGGGGCTGTGGCCCAATTGGTTGGCCCCCAAGTTTTAGAGCTTGGGTGAGGTGGAGGTCAGGGTTTCGAATTCTGCCATCGCCGTGAACTCTATCAACCCCTCAAATGAGGGGGTGGAACGTTCACTTTTCTGGAAAAATTCCAACTGCTAACAAACTAACTCTACTAACTTCCTAACCATCTATCTGGTCAAAAAAAAAAAATCAGGACCTTTTTTTGTTAATTAAAATATCATCATTAAAAAATTAAATACTTTTAATCAATCAACTTACAAATAAAATTAATTAAAGATATTTGAGTAAAATGACACATAAGATTAATTAAAAAGATTAATAAATAATATTTGAACAAATTTATAGGCAGTACTAACATTTGACATTTGAATGACATGATGCAATGATTACTATTTTTGCATTTTTATTTAAATTTCAAATGGTGATGATTGTAATGTGTCCAAACTTTTCCGCTTTGCAGGAAATGGGAGCAACACAACTCTCGAACAATCATCATTTCGGTGGTTGCTTCACTTGTAGGCATTCTGTTGTTTGTCCTCTGTATTTGGATGTTTTCAAGACGCAGAAAGCCAAAAGAAACTGTTGAAATTGAAAGTAGGTAACATGTAGCAATCGACACTCCTACTGGAGAATGCGATTAATCTTGCGCATTAAGGTTGAATCCTTGCAATATGACTTCGCCACTGTCCAGGAAGCAACTAATAACTTTTGTGATGAAAATAAGCTTGGAGAAGGAGGATTTGGAGCAGTTTACAAGGCAATCAAATGTTAATAATCCTACATTTGCATGCATCAGAATTTTGTATTTACTTAACTGACCACATTTAATGCGCTATTTTTTACATATAGGTTAACATATGTATACAGGGTCGGCTTCCAGATGGATAAGATATAGCTGTAAAAAGGTTATCTAGTGGTTCTGGACAAAGAGACTTGGAATTTAAGAATGAGGTTCACTTAGTGGCCGAACTTCACATCGCAACTTGGTCAAAACTTCTAGGTTTCTGTTTGGAAGGAGAAGAAAGGCTTCTCATATATGAATATTTTGCCAAACACAAGTCTTGATCATTTCATATTTGGTATGCTCACCTTTCAAATTATGCTCTCGATTCACATTGCATGTTTTCAGTTGTTATCTGCAAAAGCCATGAGCATCTTCTATGATATCCTAGTGATTAGATGTTCCTTGTTTTGTTTTACTAATTAATCATATACTCACATGACTATGAACATATAGATCTAATCAAGCATGAGCAATTAGATTGGGAAAAGTGATATAACCGTTCAAAACCATTCAAACATTCAACCGGATGATTTAAAGTCTTTGGAAATTTTTCTTTAGCTCCACGTCCTCCAAGGCTCGTGACTTCCAATTATTTCCGCCACTAGGACATTACCCATTGGATTGAAACGATTTGCTTAAAATTTTATTTATTTTATTTTTTGAAAGAAAAGAATTGCTAACAGAATTCAATTTCGAAAATTAATATAATATTTGTTTAATTTGTATTTTAAATATATAAATTAAAAATATGATAAATATAATTTTTTGTGATTAATTTATATAATTATAATGAATTTATATAAAAAATTATAAAACTTGATATTTATTT